ACAAAACCCCCTATATATACCTGATTAACAGAGTATGAATTGTCTGAACCTCTGAAAATGGCAATCAAGAATTCGATTAACTGTAAATTTAATTACATAAATATCAAGTGAGTGGAAAAGAAAAGTAATAAAAGCTTTTCTCCTCTTCAAGTGATTATATGTGTGCTTAAAGAATTCTGAAATGAATCAGCTAGAAGGTGGTTTTTAATTGCAACAAAACACATTAACAACAGAAGGGCGGAAAACTGGTTCTTGGCCTGAATCATTAAAATACCTTTTTCTTGAAAATGCCTCGCTTGTCATCGTCCATTTACGCGTTTCCTAAACCTATTTTCTTTTTTCATTTACATGTAAGGCAATAATCCAAATTTACGCGCTATTTAATTAAGTGATTTTAAATTTTCGTTATGTGTTTCGTTAAATTTTCGTTCGTTCGCGTTTCGAACACGTTTCTCAAAATAGAACAAAATCTAATCTTTTTTTCTAATAAAATTTTAGTAAACTTGTTTTCTCTTTTCACTTACATAAGCCAATTTTTGCTACTATATTACTAGAAATACGAGGGCCCCAGTCACGAACTGCCACGGGACCTCTGGTCATGACTTGAATCAAATTTACACGTTGTGTAATTAAGTGTTTTTAAATTATTTATAGCGTTAGTAAATTACGGTAAATTAGTAAATTTGAGCTTTTATCTTATTTCAATATTTGCTAAATCATAATTCTAATGGGAAAAAAAAGAAATTATTTGTAAACACAAAAATAAATTATTTGTAACATTTAGTGGGCCTCCGGAAATGTGGGGATCCTAGGCCTGGGCCTGTCAGGCCTTATGATAAATCATGCACTGTATATTATCTCTTCTGATATTATCCATAAGATTTAAAATGTACAACTTTCGTTCCTAACAAACCCTGCATTTTTCATCAAGGTCATCCTAAGCAGAAATTAATACCTCGGATAAAATGTTAGCTCTTTTAAAAGCTTAGAATATAAAAACAATGAGGAAAAATATAATAAAAAAACAATAAAACAGTTGCAAAACTGCTTTTATACTTTGGATTCATCAAATATAAAATTATATTTGATGTATTTAAATTGTATTGCAGTAAAATTCATTAAAAAATTATTTAATCCGGAATTTTTTGTATTTGTAATACGTTTTAAAGTTGCACCATAAATATTTCTAATGCATGTTCGATGAATATATATATGTTTTACTTCAATGCGCACAGATGGCGCCACTATGACGTGTACAATTACAATCTTTGCAAACATTTTTTATAAATTTAATTAAAAAATAAAATAAAATTATTAAAGAAATTTTGACCGATTGCTCAAAATATTAAGCAGCAGTGTGAGAAATATTATTTGAAAATTTATATTATGTTTCGAATTTATATTATGTTATGTTTCACACATTTTAAAATGTGTGAAAGTAATAAGTTTTGTTTTACATTTATTATGTATAAATGATAATAAAAACTTGAACCAACTGCTTAATAAGTAGTTAAAAAATTATTTATAAGATATTTATTGTTTTTAGAAGAAAAAAATTCTTATAAATTGAATTAAAAAATCCCGAAAGTCTTTTAAAAAAGCTTTTAGCTATTTAAATGGCATTCATTTTAAACATTTTATTGTCATAATTAAAATCATTCTAATGACATTTTAATATCGTTAAGCTATTTATAGACACTTTAAAATAGCTTTTAGCTTTCATCCACATTTTCTATTTTACAACTGACAAAACATTATTTCTTTTCTTCGTTTCATTAAAAATCAAAATGAATAATTCTAAAAATCACAATCAACTTCTTACGTTGGATAGCTTTTATTTTATTTATTTTATTTATTTTATTCATTTTATTTATTTATTTATTTATTTATTACTTTATTTATTTATTTATTTGAAAAAATTTAGCTTTTTATCTCCCTAAAACTTGCTTATAAAAAATATTTTAAGGCATTTTCTATGAACAAGAAGAATAAATACTGAAACAATATATGAGAAGAGAATTTATGGCATCGAAGCAGCTGCATTAAATGATACACAATCATTGTTTGATAAGGAAAAAGTGGACATCCTAAATAACTTTCATGCTTATCATTCGAATTTCCTCTCATCTTTGATTTTATTTTATAAATATCGATCAGTGGCGTAGTTTTGGGAAGAGTTTTGGGAACAAAACCCCCTCCGAAATTAAACATTACTTAATTAATGAACTAGTATAGTGTAAGTAGGATATACATATAAAAAAGTTTTCATTATATATATA